TCTTCCCTTTCCTGGAAATGTGTTTTTTCTTCCTCTCTTACTTTCATGTACTCTCTCTCCAGCTCACTCTCTCTGTCTCTGTCTTATATCTAGAGAACATGTATTCATCATTTAAAATTCTGTGTAAATAATACTTGCCTTGATAGAATTAGCAATTTTCTTTTTCCTCTATGCCAAGATGGTAAATAATCTAAATATAAATCATGTTGTTACATTTACTTGTTTACACATTTTACTCATTGACTAGACTACAAAATATTTGAAGGTAAATCATTGTGTAAGCTATTTCTAGTACAGTAGTTAGCCCTAAGTAAATTTCAATAAATATTCCAAAAAACTCACTGCCCTCAAGTCGATAGTGACCCACACTGAGCCCTCCTTGGGCTTCCGAGGAAGTACCTCTACAGAAGTAGATTGCCCAGTCTTCCTTCTGAAGAGTGACTGGTGAGTTTGAACTGCCAGTCTTCTGGTTAGCAGTCAATGCCTTAGACACTATGTCACCAGGGCTCTTAGATGAACTAAATCACTTTAGAGTTCATTTAAGAAACCCTATGGCACGTAACAACAACAACATGACACAATAGTTAAGTGCTCAGCTGCCAACTGAAATGTGGGCAGTTCAAACCCTTTAGCTGCACTGCAGGAGAAAAGACCTGGTGAACTTCTCTCATAAAGAATACAGCCTGGAAAACTCTAAGATACAGTTCTACTCTATCATATAGGGCCACTATAAGTTGGAATCAACTCAAAGGCACAAAAGAACAAGAGTTCAATCAGTATTTTATACTTTAATTCTTAATTTTCTGCCATCTACCCATGGAATTTTAAGTTGTCTTCCTGTGGAAATGCATATACACAGATCATAAAGATAACTCATTTTACTAACTCACTCCATTTTAGAAAAAGACCACATATCATTATGAAATTTAAAAAATGTTACTAGGAACAATAAGTAAAAGTAATTATCTATCTCCCAGAAATTGTTGTTGTTGTTAAGTGCCATCAAGTCGTTTCCGACTCATCGTGACCCCATGCACAGCAGAACAAAACACTGCCTGATCCCGCGCCAGCCCCACAATCCCTGCTATACTCGAGCCCATCATCGCAGCCACCATGTCAATCCATCTCATTGAAGGCCTCCCTCTCTTTCGTCGACCCTCCACCCTACCAAGCATGACATCCTTCTCCAGGAAATGGTCCCTTCTGACAACATGACCAAAATAG